TTTCCAAAAAAATTCAATCTACACTATAGGATGATTCCATATAAATATGACTGATGATTTCTTTGCTGATCTTGCCAATGAGAAGAAGATTTTTAAAGATATTTCCTATATATTCCTATGTGTAACTTCGATTTCCTGTTGTTGCCCCGCCCTATCCCCGGGAGTCATGATTTGAACAAACTTCAATCTACACTACGTGAGGATGTTTCCATATAAAATTTAATATGACTAATCATGTACATGTATTTGCTGTTCTTGAGACTTTAAAAAAAATTCCTATGTGTTCCTATGTAAATCTTTGCCCATTGTGGCCCAACCCTACTGCCGGGGGACATGACTTAAACAAATGTCAATCTACACTACCTGCTGATGCTTCATATAAATTGACTTATCATGGCTTTGCTGTTCCTGGGGAAATGATTTTAAAGATTTTTCCTATACATTTCTATGTTAAACATTGAACACCCCCCATTCCTGCCCCATCCTACACCCGGGGGTTATGTTTTGAACAAGCTTCAATCTACACTACCTGAGGCTGATTCCACATAAATATGACTGATCAAGGCTATGATGTTCTTGAGAAAAGATTTTTTAAGATATCTACTATACATTTCAATGTGTAATTTTGATCCCCTGATGTGCCCCCCCCCCTACCCGGGGGGGGGGGTCTTGATTTGAACAAACTTGAATCTACACTACCCCAGGTTGCTTCTGTATAAATATGACTAATGATGGCTTCGATGTTCTCGAGAAGAAGATTTTAAAAGATATTTCCTAATATGTATTCCAATGTAGAACTTTGACCCACTGTTGTGGCCCCGCCCTAACCCCGGTGGTCATGATTTGAACAAACTTGAATCTACACTACATGAGGATGCCTTTCTATTAATATAACTAATAATGTCTTTGCTGTTCTTGAGAAGATTTTTAAAGATATTGCCTATATATTCCTATGTATAATTTGACCCCCTTTTGTGACTCCGCCCTACTCTCAGGGGTCATGATATGAACAAATTTGAATTTGCACTATGTAATGAAGCTTTCACATAAATTTCATCTTTTCTGTCCCAGCAGTTCTCGAGGAGAAGATTTTTAAAAGAGACCATCAAATTTTCACGAATTCTTCATTATCTCCCCTTGAAAGAAGGCGTGGCATTTCCTCTAAACAACTTAAATCCCCTTTATCCAAGGATGCTTTCTGGCAAGTTTGGTTGAAATTGGCCCAGTGGTTCTTCAGAAGAAGTCGAAAATGTGAAAAGTTTACTGACAACACAAGACAGACAAAAAGACGGACGGAAGGACTTTGGACACATTTTGATTAGAAAAGCTCACTTGAGCCTTCGGCACTGGTGAGCTAAAAACCTAAGGTTCTTAATGAATTCGCTCAACAGATTTTATAAATATTATTCCTGTCATAAACAGACTCCAAGCTCTGTTTCTTTGCACTAACCAAATACCATATGTTTGGAAACAATCAGATATTTACATCATATCGTATATCTGAAAAAGGGAGGGGGTTTGTCAGACCCAGCTGATGTCAATGCATCTCACCGTCAAACTTTGTACACTCATAGAAAAAAACGTATTTTAAATATCTGTATAAATATGTGAATAGTCACATTCTTTCCTCAGAACCGATAGCCATACAAGTAACTCCAGTTAACCAACTATTTAAGACTTCGGACCAAAACGCACCCTCTGAAACTGGGAGATCACCAATGAAGCCAAAACTGTGGTGAGTTTCCTAAAAAAAATGTAACGTCCCTTTCGAGAATTTTTCACTCATATTGAGATGCCACCACTTGCCGGTGGAGGGCCTCAAATTTAGACCTATACTCGGCACTCAGGGCCATTGAGCAGTGAGGGATCTTTTCCGTGCTAGCACCTACTGTGAAACGGGACCTCTGTTTATATGATCTCATCGGAAGGACAGGTATCCACGTCTCAGTGGGATTCGAACCCACGACGCAAGGATCAACTCCTTACTCCACGACTCTAGAGCAAACGCCCTAACCACTGCGCCACGCGGGCGACCGTCCTACATAAAGATGGAATTAATCTTTTAAAATCTCTTCTAAAGAAGAACAACAAGGTCAATTTGGGTTAAGTCTGTGTGCCTGTTTGTCCGTTTGTAAATCTTTTTCCACATTTTCGACTTCTTCTTCAGAACCAGAGATTAATATTTTGACACACTTTGATACATAGTACTTTAGAGTCAAACAAATTGAAGTTTCTTAAAACGGAAGGGCAGCACCCCTTTAAACGGAGTGATTATTCAAATCAATATACAGGCACCCAAAGGTATTGTACATGTAGATTCAAGTTTGTTCAAATCACAGCTTAAAGGACAGTGTGGGGATACAATAAGAGATCCAAGATTTACATGGGGCAAAAATCGGGAATAGTCCAGTCAATTTATCATGAAACGTCAAACTATTTGCAACACAATTTCTATTGTTATACATAAACTCTAGAATGCACAAAATAAATGTAATTAAAA